CTCTAAATACCCTTGAGGTATTGCATAATTCTGATTGTTATCATAAAAAAAGCCCCCCAAACTAAATTTGTGTGACTTAATGGGTGCAAAAATTTGCTTACTGACGAATCTTAAATAAATTTGGGGTATTGGTCACTGTGTGCTATGTAAAACCCTTAGATTTAAAATTAAGGAGCTACGAAATGCCCTGATAAGCTTAGATATTTAGGCTTTCTTTGGTTGTTTTATTTAAGACTGTAATTTGTCATTTACATATATACATAATTTTGGATAATTGTGGTTTCTATGTATTCTGATCAGTATGATGGAAACTTATCTCAGATTCCCTGGTTCTCACCTCTGGCCTGTGCTTCTCATACTCTCTTCCACTTTACAGGTTTTGGAAGGGTTTGTTTGATATGCAGGCTACAGAACAGAATGTTAACAGTAAAACAAAATATCACGTGGAGATTAAATAGATAAACTCTATTGACATATACCTGGCAGAGATATTCCTAAAGATGCAACAATTGCATCTTCATCCTTGTGTTACCAGAAGGTACTATTTTAATAGTATTAAATAATATTTCCTTTGATGCATTTAAAATATGTTTCTTATTTTGTATTTTTTCATCCTTTAAAGAAGCTTTCTGGCCATCTTGTTGCCTGTAATCCATGATTCTTTATGCACTTAAGAATGCTGTTGTATTTTAGTGTGGAATTAATGTTTTTGCTGAGCAAATTCCAAGCAAATGTACAGGTTTTTGTCTGTAGAGCATCCCTGATACTCACCTTATATTAATAGACTTTCAGGGATTACCTCTGTTGTTTTCAATTTTCTTCTAAGCTAAATACTGTCTTTCTTGCCATGTAGCATTTATTGGTTTGTGATGTACTATCTGTGGAACCTGTAAATTATGCTTGTAATAGACATGAAGAGAACCTGTGCCTTGAAAGCTGTAATGTTGCTGCACTGAGATATCATAAATGACTGTCAGCTCAGACATCAGAAATGCACAGGAGTGACAGGTGGACACTAGTTAATCCAGCTTTTGAAGGATGTTTATATTGTGGCCTCTAAAATACTAAAAGTGGAAGGTCAGTTCTGAAGGTTGATGTAGAAAACCACTATTCCTTTAAAAAAAAAAAAAAGAATGGAGTTTGTGCAAAAAAAGCTCCAACAACTCCAAGAAAATGTATTCACAACAACAGATTTACTCCCTTTAGGTTTTTGTAGAGAGTATTTCTTTCTGGCAGCAAGAGTGTCATATTTGGAGTAATTAAGTTGGTTCAGAAAGTTACTTTCTTCAGTAAACAGCTTATTATTGAGTTTCTGGATGTTTTTAAGGATGTTCCAATCAACAGGGGATATTTATCTAGTATATTAACATTCTGACTGATTTTTGTAGGTGCTCTGAAGTGCTTATTGAGTCCCACTCTTGTCAGTCCTCAGAGTGGGGTATTTTATATTTTAATGTCAACCAGAAGGAGAGCAGAACTTTGTTCTGATGTTCTCAGTCTTCTCTTTCATTACAGAAAAGTAATACAGTCTTGTGGAAAAGCAGAAAAGTTTCTCAGGATTTTTCTTTTTCCTTCAGTTCTTTCTGTACATTTCATCTAATGACAAGGAAGAAATAAGGAGACAAACTTTTTTCAGATGATAAAAAGTTTCTCTCCTTTTGAACTGCTTGAGGAAAACAGACATTGTCTAGTGTTGAAGGTTAAGTATTAAAACGAGAAAGGACATGTCTTTTGGCAATGTCAACTGAAACTAAGGACATTCAATGTTAGTTCTTAGGCAGTTTGTGGGACTCAAAGCAACTACATTTTGTCAAAACAAACAGCAGTGGGGGCATTATGCAATGCCTGCAATACGTGTCAGACTGTTTATGCAGCAGCAATATAAATTCCTGTCTGCATTGTTCTTTTTGGGTCATCTGACAGTGTGATGGTTCGTGTTGTAATTATGATATATTTGTGCTACAATTTATATTTACACAGAAGTATGCACTGAAATAGAACTGTATGTACTATAATAATTTGAAGAGTGAATAGGGTTCCTTTCAAATATGCAGCTGTTTTTCAGAAGATGAAGCTCATGCAGATAAGAAAATGTATATTAGTGTGTTCAGTGACTTAAAGTTGAGAAAGGGTGATGAACCAGTGTCCATGCTTGGAAATTTTGATGTTGGCATTTTAAGGTTTTTTAAAAATTACTTTGAAAAGGACAAAAACACCACCAAGAAAATGAGTTTCTGTCAAGGTCTCCTGCAAATACTTTGAGTCTGTTAGTACTTCTAGTAGTTCCAGTAGTACTTAATTTTCAAAGACATAAAAATAAGCAGGGAAGGCCTGTGAAGAACTGCAGCTTTGGAGCCATGTTCTGGTTTACCTACGCTTGTATTGGAGCAAATGGGATGTGTGTCTGGGAGGGATCAATTGCCTGGGAGACTTGGAAGCTTCCACAGGTGGGATGTGGAAAGTACAGGAAAAATTCAGACACCAGGGAGCATTCTGCAGGGGATGCTTATAGTAGAGTCAGCTTTTCTGGCAGCTCCTGTGAAGCTTGAAGTAGGTTTTTCCTTTCCTTGTTTACCTCGCTCTCAGGAACCTTTTGTAGTTTGTTTTATGTGTTTGTCAGTTTCAGTAGCTGTATTTACAGAACAGGCTGTTTTAATATTTCCAGAGCTTTTTACTTGAAAAATAATTGGTCAATTGTTGTTTTTTTAAGGATGCAAATGAAATACTGCAGCTCAAGGTTTATGTGAACATTATGAAGTATGTTAAAGAAATATATATATATTTTTAGGAATTGAAAAAGGAAAATAAATGAAGGCTTCTTTGCAGTCATTTGCTGATAGATTAGCTGTGAGGGGGGACTATACTAATGTTTTTCCAATGAGCAGATTTTTTTTTTTTAGGAAGAGGAATTATGGAGATGGAATCCGTGATGGTTGTATTCCTGTCTTTCTCACAGCAACCTTTAAGAGCCTACAGCATTAATAATTCCAAAGGACTTTGCTGTAGACTTCAGAGACTTCACTGTAGACTTCACAGTATTTTTTGTCTTCTCAGTCACGTTTATGTTTTAAAATAAAGTTTACCAAATTGATCTTGGAATTTGCAGACAGTTAACTACATCTGCTTATTTTAGCTGCATGTTGGAATTTGCAGATGTGCTAGTATAACTAGTTGATGTGTCCTTTGTTTTTAAGCATGTGTTTTCTGTCATGTTGAATTTTACTGCAAAATAGCTCCATCTTAAGCTTTTACTTGATCTGCAGCTGCTGCCTGTTAAGTGATACATCTTTCAGAGTTTGGAAAATGTAGAGAAGCAGGGTTTGTGCACAGTGTGTTTCCACAATATGTTCTTCCTAACTGACCATTTCTGTTGTTCACCTTGTCTTGATCATGGCTAGTTCAGTTATACTAATCTGCTTATTTGAGTTTTGTTTATTAGAGTGTTCTCCTTATTTTAGACAATAGAGAAGACTAATTTCTTTACTAGCATTTAAGTGTTTTCTTATGCAAGTGCTTCTGAAGTGCACACTGGCCATTAGAGTGGCCAATGTGTATTTATTTTTTGCATCCTAAGTTGCAGTGATGACACAAAAGAGCTTTTTTCCCATTATTTCCTTCAAAGCCCCCTTCTAAAGCATGTTCGCATTCACACTTACTGTTAATAATTATTTCTAATGTGGTTCAGATTACAACTTAAATTTAAGTAGGTAGATAAGGTTAGGCTCAGTATTTGCTTATAGATGTGATGTATAGTTGTATCTTTTATTCTATCCAGAGTATGCTCACTGAATTGATAGAAAGTTTGAATGCCTTTTGTGTTGCCTGTTTTTAATGAGGCTGTTGATAGAGAAGAAGTAGTTTAGGATGTATGTTACTGATACTCAGTGCAGGTGTGTATTCCATTCAGAAACCCAAAAATTTAGAAATCTATTCTTTGTCATAGAATCAGAGAATGGATGGGGTAGGAAGGGACCTTTAAAGGTCATTCTAGTCCAGCCAACCCCCCTGTAGTGAGCAGGGACACCTTCAACTAGATCAGGTTGCTCAGAGCCCTGTCCAACCTGACCTTGAGTGTTTCCAGGGCATCTACAACTTCTCACCCTCATTGTGAAAAATTTCTGCTGTGCATGTAGTCTGAATCTACCCTCTCTTAGTTTGAACTTGACTAGCCTCAGTGTTCAGAAGTGTTCAGATAATTGTGCAGTAACAGCTGTATGTTAACTTGATTCCTGTTCCCTGATGACTTCTTATCTCATGTACTATTTCAGTTGATTTCAGTTTTGTTTGGTGAAAGCCATATTAACTTTGAAGGGAAAGCCTTTTGAGGAGTTTAAGCTTCTAGAAAACTGTGATTTTTTTTTTTTTAATCCTCTGAAATTCCTAGCAGGTATATAGGGAAAGGGCAGTTGCAGTTTCATTCTGAGGGATTTCAAAGTAGGTATTAATTAAATTGCTGTATTTAAATTGGATTGATAAATACCTATCAAAGTCTGAGTCCTCCAGTGATGAAATTTCAGGGATATTCTTTTACTGTGAAGAAGTAAACTGTGTATTCTGGTAGATGCCAGGGTTAAGCATTGTCTCTCACAATTAAATACTGACTTGAGATTTAACATGTTTTGCTGGGTTCTGTTTTTGCTTAGTGCCCCGGTTTTTCATATCTCCCTTAGCAATTATTTAAAAATAACAAATCACAACTTTTGGAAACAATAACAAAAAATATTACAAATAGATTTTCCCTTTGCTTACCAGGGGTACCCCTATTTAGATAATTGCATTGAGTTCTCAAAAGTACTGGTCAAACATCTTTTATCTTTGTACTTGACAGTGTAACGGTTCTAAGTGTTTGAACTTAAGCCTTCTTAGCATGACTAATACAATTGTATTTGCTTTAGACATCTGAAATGAATGCTGCAAGAAACCATGTCATGTTCATATGAATCTGCTCTCATTATATCCCGATATTTGATGTGCTTACATTTCTGTCTGGTTTATTTCAGGAATTTGCAGCACTTACGAAAGAGCTAAATGTTTGCAGGGAGCAGCTGCTTGAAAGGGAAGAAGAAATCGCTGAACTGAAAGCAGAAAGAAATAACACAAGGGTTAGTTCCTTGTCTTCTCCAAGATTTCCACTGTTAAAGCATTCAGCTACATGGAGAAAAACACTGAACACTGAATTGGAAAAGCTAAAAGTAGTTTTTCCTTGATATTTGCACATGAATGTCTCTGGATGTGTGATGGTGTGTTGATTAAGAAAGTTTGGAAGCTTAAGCACAGCTCCAAACACTGCTGTGCAGAATCAGGAAAAGCTTGTGAGACTGCACTGCTGTCTGACACTCAGCTTGCTTGTTGTTGGAGTTTTGTAATCATACAACACCCCACATCAGTGGAACAGAGCTGACAAGCTGAAGGGATCTGTTCCAGCAGGGTACATTGCTGCCAGCAGAACAGTTGTTCTCCAACTGAGAGCGTTTCCTACATGTATCCTTCTGATACATGACAAGCAGTTCCTCAGATTGGTGGCAGAGCTGACAAGTCCTGGCTAAGTAAAAACCTCATTTAAAAGCCAGTCTGAGAGAGGAGGGAAATAGCTCTGATCTCTCTTCTAATGTGGGTGAAATGTTAAAAATGGGTGCTTATGCTTGGTGCAAGTTGTTGGCTCTCCGATTTGAAGCTTACAACTCAAAGCTTGATGTTTTAGGAGACAAAGTTTTCTGCAGCCGTGCAGAAAAGGAATAAACATGGTTTCTTTGTTTTGTTTTGTCTTAGCTGTTACTGGAACATTTGGAGTGTCTTGTCTCCAGGCATGAGCGATCTCTCAGAATGACAGTTGTAAAGAGACAAGCTCAGTCTCCAGCAGGAGTTTCTAGTGAAGTAGAAGTTCTCAAAGCACTAAAATCTTTATTTGAACACCACAAAGCCCTTGATGAAAAGGTAATGAAATATGGTAGCTGACATCATCTCATCGTGTGCCCTCTTTCGTGTGGACCAGGCAGTTGTTTGCACTAAAGTTGTACAAGTCAGGCTCTCTGAACTTTTCTTTGTATTAAGATAGTGACTTTGCTATAACTTCATTAGTAACTGTCCTCCTAAATGAATATGTTGCACTAAAGCAAGGTGCTGTAGTTTATTCTAGTACTTTATTAAATGTAAACTAAGAATGGTTCAGGGGCAATATATTTGTTGTAGGAGTGCAGGTATTTGCTTGCTAGTGTAATATCAGGACTTAGCTGTTTGGTTATGAAATAAAAGAAATGGGCTAGAGGGAACAGCAGGAGAGAAATCTGCTTACACTGTGATATAAAATAAAGCTGAATTAAAGGAACTCCACCCTTTGATTGTGCCTGATGTTGGCAACAGGATATGCAAGTGGTAAAGTTTACTGTGCATTTTACTGCCGACTCACAGTTTGCCCGACTTTATAGAAAACAGGTCACGAAAGCCTGGCAAATTACTGTAAGTAAAATTCTGTCTCCTCTTCCCTGTAAATAAGCAAAGGCATACATGCTCTGTGCCCTACAATAGGATGGGCAAATCCTGGATGTGTTCAATTCTTGCCTAAATGTACAGGTCATGTTAATATAGGATTTGTTTATGACAAAAAAGCAAGCTAGATTTTAGATACATGCTGTTTCTCTAGAAGGTTTTTTGTAGCATATATGTAAGTAAGAAGTATGTAAGAATTAAGCAGATCTCTAAGTATAATGGAAGTAGTGTTATTTACTCCCTGAAAGGGTATGGTAGCATGGCAAGAGTGAAATTGATTTATTTTTCCTTTAAATTATTTCAAATTATTTGAAATTACTCTTTCAGGTAAGGGAGAGGTTACGAGTAGCACTTGAAAGATGTAGCTTACTGGAAGAAGAACTAGGTACTACACATAAAGAGGTAGGTTTCTTTTTAAAAAATGTCTCCATGTTTGCTTTGTGGGTGTTATAGTCAATATTTATACACAGTAATTTCAGTTTCACTTCTTGTGTTTGCTTTTTTTTTCTTTTTTTTTTTTTTTACCAAATGATATAACTATAATTTTAAACTTGCTCACTTTGAAAGAGCAGGAAAGGAAAAAAAATCCACAGCCCTCAGTGCCCCCTGTGTCCCCCAACCCAACAATTAAACCCCGACAAAAAAACCCAAAGAGTTCCTGTGGCTTCAAAATGAGAATTTTTGGGTTGCAGTGTCATAAGGTTTTGAGTGTCTGTGCCATATTTTATTAATACATACCTTGTACTGAAATCAGTGGTTGTTGTTTTGCTCCTTTGCTGTTGCAGCTGTGAGAAAGGAATTGACTTGAAACATATGTATATAAACTTCTCTTCCCTTTTAGTTAATGATTCTGAAAGAGCAAAATAATCAGAAGAAAACACTTCCAGATGGGATGCTGGATATAAATCATGAACAAGAAAATACACCAACCACAAATGGGAAGGTAGAGCTCTTTACTTTTTTTAGCTCATGTCTGATTTTTAATCGTTAACCATAATATTTTAATTTTAAATTATGATAAAAGATTTTGAGTGATCGTTTCATTTAAAAGTCTCAGTTGCCAAAAGTTTGGTTTTTTCAGTCTATCCAATAATAAAATTTTCTTGAGGAGGTGGTGTTTACAGGTAAATATACTTCTCAAATTGGTGTAACGTAATTATTTTTCCCTGCTTTACAGCGATCTTCTGATGGTTCTTTATGTCATGATGAAAATCTTGCTAAAGTAATTGAACTCCAAGACATCATAGATAAGCAAAACAAAGAGCAGACACAGATGAAGGAACGTCTCACTGCCTTGTCTAGCAGAGTAACAGAGCTGGAAGAAGATCTTGACACAGCTAGAAAAGACTTAATTAAATCTGAAGAAATGAATACAAAGTTACAGAGAGATGTACGAGAGGTGAGGAATAAACTGTCAGAATCTGTGCTGTCACAAATGCTTTTTAACATTTCAGTGTCCTTGTTGCTTAGTTAGACCTTCATGCTTTTGTGTCTCTGTGGTTTGATAGGTGAGAAAAAATTGTTCAGAACATGATGGTGCTGTGTTTTGTTTAAAATACCAGTGGCTTAAGAAGATTTGTGTTCAGAATTGATCTATCTACTATATATTTCACAAATATATTCAGCCATAGATGTAGCATTATGAACTTTGACATGTTCTTGAAAAGTCTCTTCATCTTGTTATAAATGCTAAGCTTAATTTTTTTCATATGTAAAGATGCACATGGCTAAAGAATGATTTCAGTTTCAGTGGTGTGGTTTGACAGTTACTGATCAATCACTAAACCCCAAGGTCCTGTGTGTTGCTGTGTGCTGTGTCCTTATTAAATAGAAATGGAGTTTAGTTAAATCCAAGAACACTATTAACTCTCCCCAGGAAGTAAAGATCTGTGGTATAATATAATAAAGAACAATCTTTTTAAGCATTCACTGTTAGGCTTTTTTTAAAAAAGCCATTGAACTTGTAAGCCAAAGTGAGACTATTCTTTTTACTTTATCTTTTTACTGAGAGACATAATACAGTGTATCAGATTTTTAAAAATTACTATTTCTGGCTTGTGGGTTTTCCTCCCTCTTTGCTCATGGATGAATCATCCTTTATATTCTAAATTCTGTCTTGTTTCATGCACAGACTATGGCCCAAAAGGAAGACATGGAAGAGAGAATTACAACTCTTGAGAAACGCTACCTCGCTGCTCAACGTGAAGCTACATCTGTCCATGACCTCAATGATAAACTTGAAAATGAAATTGCCACTAAAGACTCCATGCACCGACAGGTTGTTATTTGAAATCAGAGACAGTACATTTTGCTCAGCATAAAGCTAATGGAAATAATTAATGTTCAGACTGTACTAAAGCACTTGGCTTTTAGGGAGATAAGCTTTATCTGTAATGTGCTATTAGTGATTATTTTTTCAGTAACTGGAGGAGTGTGTTTTACAGAGTTTTATCCTGGAGATGAAGATGAGACAGTTTACTGGGCTGGGGAAATGGTTTTGAGCATTTTGGTGCATTTGATCATAGTGCATCAGGGCTGCTTTCCCTGTTAACCAGATTTTTATCTGTGAGCATCTTCAGTTTTGTGTGTGAGAATTACTCATTCTAAGCTGAAACAGTTTTAAAACTTGTGTAGTGATTTTTATAGCCCATAGTAGACGTAAATGTTACCATATTGTGGGAGGAAATTCCACATATGGTTGACATGAAGTAGCCCTACTTAAAACCATAACTAGTTGTTTAGACCATCACTTTCAGCCAGGCAACTCTTACTCAACAAGAGAAGTCCCTTTCAGTGTAATTTTTAAAAGAAGTTGTTACACACTTCAAAAATAAACGTTGTGGTAATAAGCATAGTGTTATTTAAATTATGAAGGATTTTTTTCTTTGATGTAACTCAAAGACTTAGCACAGCCTTAACACTGAAAATTCACAACTTGCTCTATGCTGTTTCCCATACCCATGTTTATTTGTTGATACAGGAGCTTTCAGAATACACAAAATTGTCTACAGAAAAAAATTTCTAGAGAAAAAAATTCTCCCATGGAATGGAGGGGTGGATGCTACATCTTTGGTTATGAAACTAGTTTTGGACATTTATAAAGGTATTATCTTTGAAAGTTCATGATCATTTTAACACTAAACATTTGCTTCTCATAATCCTGTGTAGAGTGAAGATAAGAACAGGCAGTTGCAAGAACGACTGGAACTAGCTGAGCAAAAGCTGCAGCAGACTCTGAGAAAAGCTGAAACTTTGCCAGAGGTGGAAGCTGAATTGGCACAGAGAGTTGCAGCACTTTCAAAGGTGGGTCAATTGAACAGTGTCCCCAAGACTGTCCTCTCTGTTGGCCTCCTGCTAGACAAAATCTGTTCCTAGTGTTGGTTTTGTAACAGTGTGTTTCTGTTTTTCTCCCAGCCAGTTCAGAAATGTTTCTTGTTGCTTTCTGCATTTTCTGTTTATCTCTGAACACACTAAACACACTCTGATTTACTCTTTTTTTGTTTTTAATTTCTGCTCTTTGACACTTGAGCAGGTTTTCTGTTAACTTAATGTTACAAAAAATAATCTAAATTATTATTTTGTTGTTTTTATTAAAATTAATTCAGTAATAGGCATAAAGTATTGTAAACCAAGAACTATTTCTGAAGGGGAACCCCAAATTTTTTCCACTGTTAACCAAGTGAGGAATGTGGGAAGAGAGGGAGAAGTAATGTCACTCATTAATACCCAGATTTTTAGGAGGCTGCAATTGAAATAATGAAGTCTGAAGAATTATATGTAGTAACTGAAAATGAGCCTTTTCAAGTGTATGTGTTTCCTTTTCAAGTCTCAGTTTCATTTCTTTCCCTGTTATCTTTCCTGTCCCTAACTGGCTCTGTAGTCTGACCTTTTGTCTCCTGGGAGCTCTGCTGCTAAAGATGCTAAAGTATTGGAACTTACCACCAAGCTTAGGAAGGTAGAATCTGTATATTAGTCCTTGTTTCTGCTTGCTGCTTTCTGCTTTGTCATGATTACTAACAAAGGGCCATGTCGTCTAGGGTAGTGAGGAAAAGCTGAAAATGCATTTAGTTTGGGGTTTTTTTTATTAATTTCTTTTTAATTCTTGGGGATTTGAGTGAGCTGCTGCTGCAAACTCATTTGCAAGTAATAGCAAATTCATGGTACTTAGGGGTGAGAGACTTCATAATTTTCTTACTTAATATTTGAAATCTTACTAGGTTATTTTAGTGACCGAAAAGCATCTGTTCTGCATTGTGTATTACCATAAATGGCAGTTGTGCAAAGCATGTCAGATACATTGTTGTGCTTCAATGTTTCTATGCTTTTGAAGCCTTTTTTAAAAAACAACGTTCTGATTTTGTTTTCAAATTGACAGGCTGAGGAAAGACATGGCAATATAGAAGAACGACTGAGACAGATGGAAGCTCAGCTAGAAGAAAAGAATCAAGAGCTGCAAAGGGTACCATACATTTTATTATTTTTTTTTGGCAAAAATACAAAGCTGAAAGAAAGAATCTGATCTTCTTCATGGCTGCCTAGCATTCAGCAAAGTTGGTTTTATTTCTCATCTCTAAAATAAAACCAGAGTTCAGGCTGGCTGATAGTTGGGAGATTTGAGCCACGATACTATGACTGGCATTAAATTCCAAGACAAAGCTGGAAGTTTCCAGTCAAAGTTTGAGATATGTTTGGAAACACCTAATTGCTAATCATACCTGCTGATGAGCAGACAGATCAAAAACTTGCTGAACTAATTGACTCTGAAAAAATTAGTTCCTTGGTTATAAATAATGGAATTGGTTCTGAAATCTGCTTTTTCTTGAAGTGTAAGCTCAGCTTTTCAAGCTTCTGATCTATTCAGCAGCTTTTGAAGTCTTTTATGTGTCCCTTAAACTCCCTTACAGAGTCTTGGGGGTACATGCAAGATTCCTTATTCCCTTGGAAAAGTGTTTCTATTAAAGAATATGTATTTGGATTAAAGAAAGCTTGCTGGCTTTGCAACCTTGAAGTTGTTATAGATACTGTAAATTAAGTTATTTCAGTAGCTTTTATGTATCTTAGGCTAGACAGAGAGAGAAGATGAATGAGGAACATAATAAACGTTTGTCAGAAACGGTTGATAAGCTCCTGTCTGAATCTAATGAGAGGCTTCAGCTTCATCTCAAGGAAAGAATGGCTGCCTTGGAAGATAAGGTAACATGTCACATTCCAACATATACATTACTTAGATCTTCAGCATTCTGTAGTCGTTTGTGTGTTTTGCAATGTGCCTGTAAAGTCAGTAAATAAATATGACATGTTTGTTAAGTAGATTCTGTTAAAGCTGTTTTCTAGTGTGGATTTTGAAAATAAGTTCTTAATATTGTAGGATTTTTGTTGAGATTGTCCCTGGGCATTTTACTACAGTTTTGAGTAGGCATCTTTTAAGAAGCTTTTTCCTTTCTTAGTTGGCTGGTGTGAACTGCATAAATAGGCTCATCCAGTGTAATACAGGAAGTCTAAAGGATTAGGGCTAGAACTTTGACCTCTTCTATTCAGTTTCCTTGTTTCCCACTGTTATTGTCTCTACCCGTTACCCTGAGTCATGGTGGGATTCTTGCAAGTTGAAACAATCTTGCATTTTCTTCCCAAGTAGATAATTTTGAGACAGGTTATATGAATGTAAATGGACTGTTCCCTGTGTTGTCAGTGCACATCTCAGGGCTTTCTCCTGGATTCAATTAATCTTCTAACTTGTTACATATTTTACTCTGTTTGTTTCCCTTCTCCTTTTGGGTCTAGTTTCTTGCAGGTTTTTCTTCTATGCCTGCCTTTAAGGATTCCCTTGTTCTGCATCAAACAAAGCAATGTCTTCTAGAGTTGCACTTTGCTTGTTGATGACTTGGAATTGCTTTGTTTGGATTAAAAAAAATACTTAGTTTCTTTTACTGAAGAGTGAAATGCACATCTAGCGAAATGTTTCAATACAAGCTTGAGTGGCTTTTGTTTCAAAGTCATGGTGATAAAATGGTTCTGTTGCAATATATAATGATGTATTCACACCTTAATAAATGTTTACTTTGTCTTGCATTCATGTCAACTCAGCTCTCATTGATAAACCATTAAGTCAGGTATCTGACATGACTTTCCAGAATTTCAGGACTGTGCTCCACTCAGATCATTACAAAGATTTAGTTCATTCTTCTCCCTTCTTTTGCACGTTGGGAGTTGAGAGGGATCAGGCAGTACAGAACACATGTAGGTCCTATTGATTCTCATCCTTTGAGTTAATGATAAAGGTGCTTTCTAGCTTTCTAGCTTTCTAGCTTTTTCTAGCTTTTCTAGCTTTCTAGGCTTCTAAGGCTGAAAACTTTGTCTTGTGGTTTTTAGTTAATTTCACTATTTTCAAGATCACCAGCTTCTCCTCATACTTCTTATGGGTCTTGTTATGACATCAACAATGTCACAACAGTCCTTATAAAGTCAATATCTGCAAAACAGCTGACTGTTTATTTTTTTAAAATGCTTGAATACTGGGGGTTGTCTTAGGGTTGACCCTAATTCCCCTTTAGCTTCCAAACCCTAACTTACCCTCATGAATAATGAGGAAAATCTAGTTGTCCTTCACCGTGAGTGACTTTCTAGGAAAGTATTCTTGCTATGGCTTCCAACTCATTATTTTATGATAAGTTGGGAAGAAACATGCAGATAAAATTTGAAGACTTCCTTCTGATCACTTGGGCTTTTTTCCCAGAATTATTTGTTTGTTCATGCATAAAACTTTTATTACACGTTTAGAGATGCAAATAATAATCCTGCTTCTCTCAAGGAAATGTGTTTAGCAGAGTTTTTTTGCAATGGTGGAAAAGGAAAAAAAAAAAAGGTGACACAGTTAAAAGTTTCCAATTAGAAGGGGGAATCTGATCTTTCTTTTCCTTGGTATCACATACAAATACAATAGTTCAAATTTGTTCTTGTCGCTTTCAAATGTTTCTTAATTCTCAGGGGATTCTTCATCTGAATTTAGAAACTGCTTTGAGTAAAGAGACTGTAGTAGTCATAAATATGTATATTTACTGGAATGGTTTTGAAGTCATGGTATAACTGCAGAGATGCCAGCTCTGATGTTAATGAGGGCCTGTAAGTCATTGAGTGTTGTGGTTGTGGAGGAATGTTACATGCAAGAAATCACTGTAGAATAATTTTGTAGGTCAGGCAACTGAAAATAATATAAAGATAATAGCCAGTAATGCCTTAGTAACCACTTAGTGAACTACTTTGAATTATTTTAGCTGCTTGTTTATTCTTTTTTTTTTAACCAGTTTTGTCAAACAGAACTTTTAAAGGCTAGTATTGTTGTTAAATTTTTATGCATTATTACTAAACCCATTGTTTAGAGGGCTGTACACCTGAAAAGATAAACCTTCAACTGTAATCACAGTGAAATGGTGTAAGCAGAAAAGTATCTGTAACCCCAGATGCATCTGTATAGTGTTGACTGAACGTTTTTGATACCTATCATGGTTATGGTTTAAGAGCTGAAAGCTTTTATAAGTAACTTAATTTGTGATACATTTTATTTTAGAATTCACTTATCCGAGAAATTGAAAATGCAAAAAAACAAATAGAGGAGCTGCAGCATGAAAAGGTACAGTGCATGTTTCTGAAATGCTGTGTTGGAAAGTAATGGTTGCATTGCTACATAGCAGGGCCAGATTTTAATTCCCCCATAAAACTGAACATTACCTGTTCTGTTTAAAAGAAGGGGGCTGTTATTGCTTTTTTTGTGGTATTGTGTGTCTCAGTTTTATAACGATTTTGTAAGTAAAATGGCATCTTATTCAAAGACTTAACATGCTTCTGAGTATGTAAAGTGGCTCAATATGTTGGCAATTTGCCAGAGTCTGGAGATTGAATAGAATTTTCATACAGTTGTACATATGACCCTGAACAGCAAAAAGGAAAGAGAAATTATAATACTGTGTTGGTTTTTTTAATGAGTTTTTTTTCTAAAAGAACTAAGTATCATGAAGCCCTTGTTTGAGTGTTGTTTTTTTTTTTCTCTCTAAGTTGTAAAAATTGGGGGCCAGGAAGAGCTATTTCTTAGACTTGACTACTCCTTTGCAATAGCAACTGTCTGGTGTTTTTAGCTCATCGTGGAGCTGACAAGTTCCTTTCTTGAATAAAAGTGATGGGGCCTTTCATGTCTTTGTGTCCTTCAGCAGTGACAATTGATTTTTTAATTTATTTATTTTTTTTGGTCATGGTATCTGTTCTGAAATATACTTGTTATTGCTTATGAGATCCTAGGTGTACTGCTTCTCCCCAAATCAAACTAGAGGCTGTGCTGCTGTAGTAAAACAAAGGAGGCATTCAGGATATTTTTCAGAATGTGCTTTGGATTTTTGTATGTGTAGGCCAGCAGTTTTCACACGAGGCACAGATGTTCAGCATCAGCTACTTTTTATTAGTCTTTCATTTTTCTCATTCATTATATTTCTGTTTTAAATTCTGAGTTTCTAGAGCTTAAAAAAATGTCCAGGTTAAAAGTGAATTATTTTAGAACCTTTTGTGCACAGAGTTAAAAAAATCTTCTTGATCCGTATTAAATATTATAACTTATAGTAAAGTTGTTAATATATTAACATTATTTAGTACCTGTTTTAAAATATACATTGTCATTAACTAGTCACAGTGTAGAGAGGCAACAGTGTTACTCTTTATGCCCCTTTGTGATGGTGCAGTTTTGTGTGTAGCAAAAACCGTTGTTACTTTTTACATCGTTGAAGGGCATATTTTAAAATCTGTTACTTCTGAATTTTGTAGAAGTGAGTTGAAAAGAAATTTAGTTTAGAAATCAGTATTTGACACTGACTTCTTTGTAAAGGGTATTGTTTTGTATTTTATCTATTTCTACAGGATCAACTTGTGTTAAATGTTGAAACATTAAGGGCTGAAACTGACCAAGTCAGACTAAGAGCCACAACACTTCATCATAGGTACCAGCACTTCATTGTAGTTATTTTTTTCTAGTTTCTTTAATATTAATCACTTTTCTAAATGTAGTTTTATCTATTATAACAGAAAATACTTCAGTCATAGCTATGAAACTTACTCCTTACGGAGCATATAAATCCATTTTTTTACTGCTTAAAAAAAAATGGCACTAGTGGGACAGTAGGAAACATTTGGGTGGGTATTTTGGTTTGTTTTTGAGCTTCTCCCCTCCCTTGATGAGGATAAAATGTTTTGTGTTGTAGCAGAGCAGACTTCAGATACCCTGTGACATCTTCCTCTGTGACTGACACCCACACAGACTCCTATGGCACCTCATCAGTGTTAAGGCGTCCCCAGAAAGGACGTTTGGCAGCTCTCAGAGATGAACCTTCCAAGGTAAGAGAGCTCTGAAATGAAGATAAAAATAAGACTTTGGCAACAGAAGTAGATGAGATGAGACCAATCTATTGCAAGGAGTTTTTACAATAGGAGTGGATAGCAATAAACTGCTGGGTTTTATATATCCTGGTTTGCTAACTAATGCACAGCTACTAGTTTTTTTAATTGTTAACAGATTATTGCAAATTATGTATTTTTAAGTCAAATTTGTTGTTAAGTATGATCAGCCTGTAAAATACCATTTGAAATAGTCCTGCTTCTCTTCCTATACACTATTCTATCACGTTGCTGTTCTGCAAGCAATTTCAGGTCTCTTTAAGGACACATAAGTTCTCATTACATAAAGTTGATTCCAAAGTTATCATTGGATTTGATAGCAAAATTCTGCTGTAATTTAGAGTATACATAGCAACGATCTATGTAACATTTTAATTTATTCAGTGAGGCTGTCCATTGTGAAATTTCACTGACGTGTAAGATGTCAAGTTTTTTACATGATAGCTTTATTTTTTTACTTTTCTCTAAACCTTGCTGTCTGGATGGATGCATTCAGCATGTAAGTGGGCTTTCTAAAAATTACTTTAGTAGAAATGTCATGTTTTTCCCGTTTGAGTTTGAATTTATTTATTTATTTATTTGCTGTCTTAGGTTCAAACTCTGAACGAGCAGGACTGGGAGCGAGCCCAGCAAGCAAGTGTGTTGGCAAATGTGGCACAAGCATTTGAAAGTGATGTTGATGTGTCTGATATTGAGGATGACAGAGAGACTATATTCAGTTCAGTTGATCTACTGTCACCAAGTGGTCAGGCTGATGCTCAGACTTTGGCCATGATGCTTCAAGAACAGTTGGATGCAATCAACAAAGAGATTAGGTATGGTGTATCTGCTGTTAAAGTTTTGATAAAAAATCATTTCTGTGACACCAGAGATTTTTTTTGGGTGCTTACTCAGAAAGTTGTGGTTTCCCATTTGGTGTCTTGGGGAGAGGTTTGACTGGAGCAACTGGTTTGCTTGTGCCTCACTACTATTTTCAGGTCCTTTGTCTTCACCCCCATTTATGTGACAGAAGCCCCTGCCACGCTGGTGACAGCAGTAGTGCTTTTTCAGATTGGATGAGAAGATTTTTCAGTGTAGCTGTTTTGCCTGCCAAGTGCTCCTTCTTTCTCATGCCCAAGTCAGCCTTTCTGTTCATATGGTGCTTCTTTGAAAGCCATGTTCCTTTTGAAACTTTTTTCTTCTAGACTTATACAAGAAGAAAAGGAAAACACAGAGCAGCGTGCCGAGGAGATTGAGAGCAGAGTGGGTAGTGGCAGCTTGGATGCCCACGGCCGGTTCCGCTCCATGAGCTCCATTCCTCCTCCCTGTGCAACTGGTTCCCTTGCTGGTTCCTCCCCCCCTGGCAGTGGCCGCTCCACCCCAAGGCGGATTCCACATAGTCCAGCTCGGGAAGTGGACAGACTGGGTATCATGACACTGGTAAGTACCCAGCAGCTTCAATTTTTTGGAAAAGTGCTCCTTTTCTCTAGGAAATGGGTTATTTGATTTTCCCCTTCCTCTACTCCTTACCCAGCTGTATTTTTCCTTTCTCTAGGTTTATCTACAGCTTCCTTTCAACTTCTATAAAAAGTGTAAGATACAATCATAATGATTAGGACAAACGTTCAGAACTCAAGTCTATTATTTGGTCAACATCTCATGCCTAAGTATTCCTTCTGTTGTTATGGTCTTTCTTCTGCCTCCTCTTCATAAAATGTTTTCTTTTCAGCCCCTGGTACAGCAATAGTTTCTCCCTCTGCTTTAAAGTTTGTTTTTAGCAGTCCACTATTCCACTATGTACTCAGCTAGAAACAGATTTGCATATATTGCATTAATCTTGAAGATTGTGGAGGTATCACAGCTATTACAAAGAGCACTAGTGTCTTGGTTTAGCCTATTGAGACTGGCAGGTAAAAGAAGCACCCGTAAGACTTAATAGCTGATGAAGGAGTAGCTTGGGCTTGGCAGATCAGTGGGTAGAGAAAGATGGATCCATTCTTTTGACATGTGACTGCTTAGAAAAATTAATCCTTCTAGGAGCTGCTTTATGCATGTAAACCTACCTTTTAAAAAGAAGATGCAAGTTTTCCACTCTGTCTTTTCATAAATGTTAAGCCAGCCTAGCAGTTTAGCATATTTGGAATACATCTCACTAAGGAGCATCTTGGATACAGGTATTTATTTGCAGGCACTCCAGGAAAAGCTCCTTCTCTAACTTAGCTCTGTACACCTTACATTGTCTTCAGGTATACACTTGCATTTGGAAGTTGTACTTAGTAGTTGTACATGCAACACTAGACTTACTAAACCTTATTGTCTTGGGTTACTGCACTTGTATCATACCTGTACAAAGAATGCTGTCCATCACTGTCAGAGCATCTGGGCTGTAAATGACTGACCTGCCTCATTGAGGTCTTACAGTGTTTAAAAACAAGTATTTTGGCTAACTGCTTTTACTAGCTTTTTAAAATGAACATGGACTTATACCAAAAGGTCTGTTTTTTGTCATGGAAAGAAATAATTTCATTTTTCTTGAATTTTGAAAAAAATGAATCTTTATACTAGCTCTAGGCAGATATCCAGAGTCAAGCACACTTCTACTACAGAAATTAATAGTGCTTTTCAGAATAATAAGTAATTAAGCTAAGTACTTCACTTACAGAAAACCATATGCAAATTTAAGTAGCTGTTTTAATGAAAATTAGATTAGAAAAATGTATCATGACAAAATCAACTGTAATTAAACAAAGGAAACTAATAGCATTCACTTCAGATTGTAAAAATTGTGACTCAAAGTCACTTGATCCATTGTTTGCAGCTGCATTTGTCTGATGTTTTAGTACCTGGCAACTGATTTGAGAGCTTCTGTGAAAGCATGAATACAAGCTAGGCTTCTAGAATTACAGAACAACAGCTTTCTAGAAACTTTTGGAATGGCTGTTATGAAATACCAGACTGAATGAGTTTTATGGAGTTGTTTTTTTATGTTTTAAGAGAAAGTTGCTTTAGTTTATGAGCATGATGGCAAACTGGCTTAATGCTAACTGCAGTAGTGTTGTTAAGCAGTTCAATTAGCTGAAAACCCCACTGATTACAATTAATTAAAAAGCATCAAGATGATAAATTGTACTACCTTGCAGTTCTTGTGGGCAGTTTTCATTCCATATCGTAAATGTTGACATTTTTATGGGCTATCAGTTTTAATAGATGAAGGATCCAGCAAGGTTAAAATGAGCCTGCTGCACTTTTTCTAAGAAATTGGGGTGGAACTAGATGATCTTCAAAGGTCCCTTCCAACCCAAGCCCTTCTGTGACTCTTTGAACTTATGAGTTATTGATGTACTACTCTGCAGTCAGATTGAACAAAACTTTATATATAAATACTGCATAGTTTTAATGTATTCTACAGAAAATACGATTAGAAGTTGTCATTTGTGGGAAGGAAACAATGCAGAATTCCACAACTTCAAAGGGGACTGACTTTTTTTTTGTTAGTCTTTTGAAATAATTTGTTGCCAACAACAGTGATAATTCATTCTTTTGTCAGCATTAGTCTGGATAACTTGATAACTTCTTTATAAAAGTCTTGTTTGATGCCTTGCTCTGTGAAGTTGCAGAAGTGAAGAAGTACCTGGGAGGTGAGATACAGTTCTGGAGTGGATGGAGGATAAAATAAAACCCATGGTAGACTCTTGCTCAAACATTCCAGCCCTTTAAACTTAGAAGAACAGAACACTGTTGCTGTATAGAAGTCAGCTATTGTTGGCATTCTGCCTTTCACAGCTATCAAAGATTGTTTTTTTGCTTTTTATGCAGTGTAGGAAACAACTGAGGCAATGGCTGAGCAGTTAGAATAGACCAGTGCAGACAGTATATAAGCCTGCTAGGTCTACCATGTAGGTTATCTAGTTTAAAGGCAAGTCCTTCACATAAGGCTGGAAATCTCATTTTTTCAAAGCAACACATTATTCCCCTGTGTACTTTCCTGTTTTCCTTGCTGAAGATAATGCACATTTTGTGTGCTAATTTGTCTGTGGTACCAATAATTTGAAATATCTACAGTACTTTTGGAAATAACCAACTTACAAGTCTTGAATTTTTTTCTTCCTTTCCCCTCTTCAAATTTGAAGAGTACTTT